GTTGGGGACTCAACCACTTCCCTGGGCAGCCTGTTCCAATGCCTGATTACCCTTTCAGTGAAGAAATTTTTCCTAATACCCAATCTAAACCTCCCCTGGCGCAACTTGAGGCTATTTCCTCTAGTCCTATTGCTTGTTACTAGGGAGAAGAGACTGACCCCCTTTCAGGCAGTTGTAGAGAGCAATAAGGTCTCCCCTCAGCCTCCTTTACTCCAGGCTGAACTACCCCAGCTCCCTCAGCCGCTCCTCATAAGACTTGTTCTCTAGACCCTTCACCAGCCTTGTTGTCCTTCTTTGGATGTGCTCCAGCACCTCAATGTCTTTCTTGTAGTGAGGGGCCCAAAACTGAACACAGTACTCGAGGTGCGGCCTCACCAGTGCTGAGTACAGGGGGACGATCACTTCCCTCATCCTGCTGGCCACACTATTCCTGATACAAGCCAGGATGCCATTGGCCTTCTTGGCCACCTGAGCACACTGCTGGCTCATATTCAGCTGGCTGTCAACCAACACCCCCAGGTCCTTTTCTGCCAGGCAGCTCTCCAGCCACTCCTCCCCAAGCCTGTAGTGTTGCATGGGGTTGTTGCAACCCAAGTGCAGGACCTGGCACTTAGCCTTGTTGAACCTCTCTGTGCTCCTCGATCTTTGGTCTCTTTGCTGATATTACTGAAGAAAGGCACATTAACAGTATTATGGTGTTGAAATTCAAGACTTGAATTTGTAAGTAGAAAATAAATATGGTATTTAATAAAGAAAGTATATTTCAGGCATAGAAGATTTGCATTAAGACAACTAAGCTGTAGTTCCAAAGCACTACATTAGCTCTCTTTAATCAAGTTGGTGACAAATCTTTTTTTACAATATATTTCATAAAGTAGTAGATTAAAAAAGCACTTACTCTCAATATGTATATATTAAAATGGTGACTGATCATAGACATATTTTAGAATTACACATTGTTGCTTTTGGGAAACTGATATGGATTTCCTTAGCATTTTATTTAAAAAAAGTACCCTGTTGAACTGGGAGGTTGTTGGTTGTTTTCCAATAATGATATATCTATATTAAAAAATCTGTTGATGAATATTTTCTGAATTTAAAGTTTGATGATCTGAGTACTTGGATTCTCATTTGGCCATTCAGTCATAGGATTTTTGCATAATTCTATTTTTCCTGGATATTTTGAAAAAAAAATTATAAGACATTTTAAGAAAAAAAAGAGAAAGAAGAGATTTGAGGACTCTGACCATTCTCATTCTGTCTGTGCAGTTCGACAATCAGCAAGCATTGGGAGGCAGAACTGGCCACGCTCAAGGGTAATAATGCTAAGCTCACAGCAGCCCTGCTGGAGTCCACTGCCAATGTAAAACAATGGAAGCAACAGCTTGCTGCATATCAGGAGGAAGCAGAACGTCTTCATAAGCGGGTAAGTCGAGGCAAACGGCCAGGATCCTTGAGGTGGAAATACTGGTGATGACTGTATTTGCTCATTTTAAAGTAAAATAAGCTTATTGTCGGGGCTTTAGGTTAATCTTTGAGACAGAAATTAATGATGACTTTAAAGCAGACAGGGTTCCTCAAGTTGGGAAATTCTTTCTTTTGTAGCAGTTCCTTTTCTGCAAAGGGTTTTGTTGCAGGAAGAGTTATCTAACCTGTGATACTTAGGACATGTCTGCCAGCTTTCACTCTTCATTTGCTGCCAGCTGTATCACATCTGTTTCAGGACCTTCTCATAGCATTACACTTTAGTCCCTCTTGCATTTAAGCCCATAGAAACTTGACATCAGATCTGTAAGTTAAAGGAGCCCTGTTATAGTTTCCACATATAACGAAAACCAACAGCTTCCTTTCATCCTTGCACCTAAAGAAAACTGAACATAGAATCAAGCTCATTATACACAATTAGAGATCTGCCTCTGCTTTCATACAGGAGGGGCAGGGTCCCATTCCCTTCACTGCAAATTTTGTTTGCAGAGGTCATTTGGCAAACCAGAAATTAGAGCACAATGGGGGCAGAAATGCCAGTGTTTGAGAGAGGAATAAAGTATATGCAAGGTCGAAGGCTGCATTATGAAAACAAGTATATAATATTTTTATTTCTCTTCTCTTTTCACATGTAACTCTCTATATATTGTATAATTTATTCATCTTTATTCATATGAATTTGTCATCTCATTTAAGCTTCTCCTCTGGAAGGGTGGAAGTTCTAACCTGTGCTCCAGGTTTGTGAATAGATGATAATAGTCATTGTTGATAAAATTATTTAAATTATAACCTTATATTGTAATTACTGTAGTGCAGAAGTTCAGGTGGATTTGATCACCAGATTCAGGTTTTACAGTGAAGAACTCATTGCTAAAACGTGGACATAATGAGGTAGCATTCTTCATACTAAAATGTATTAACAGCTCTTGTTGCAAAGCTGAGACAATACAGCAGCTGAATTATTTGCCTGCCCTGTTGCGGGGAGACTCAATCAGACAAGACGGGCAAGGCACTGTGGTAGAAGAACCCTTTTTCTTGGTGTTACTCTCACTCTTAGTAAAATCTTATTTAAAATCTGTTATTGGAAAATACAATTAACAAATATAGGAATTTTTAGCATGTCACTTTGCTTGTACCTGATACTACAATTGACAGAAGTAGTAACCAAGTCTTTGTAGCTACATTCATTAATAGTTGATTATTTTTTATAACCTTTGCCCAGCAAATTTCCTGCAATTATTTTGTATTTCTGAGGGAACGCAAAATCTTATAACATGGGATAATCTACACTATGCTCTTTTGATCACCTTTTACATGCCTTTATTAAATGTTTCTGTAATCTGTGACCTTGGGGCTTGTTGATATCTCACATAGAATATAGGAATGCTCTGTGCCTATGGCTCTCTGGGCATGCCTGTAAATTACGACAGGATAGTTCATCAATAGTACTGCCCTCTATTGGAATTGCTTTTAGAAAAATATAGACTTGGCTAACTCTAGGCAAAAGCATGCAGATTATGTAAAAGAAAATCACTCTCAATCTGTTATCTATACGGTCTGATACAAGAGCCGTTCTAACTTGCATGCTGGAGACTGATTTTTCAAATTGAAATAGTGCCCCATTCAAAAAGAAACTGCAAGTCAGATACTTCTCTGTTACACAGATAGAAAATGTGCTGTTGAAATGGCAGATCTGGAGACTGTTGGTTATGGTATATGTGGTAGCAAGCAGTGTTAAGTCACGGTATCATGTTATCTTTCTGTTTGTTAGGTTTATCTGTTAAACTCAGTATAAACACGTAGCTGCAATTGATCAAAAAAATGTTCCTCAAATTGGAATCCATCTCACCTGAGATTATGTAGAAGTTATACATCAAGTCTAAGATGGTCATCTTTTTTTCTTGCAATTCATGGAGAGACAAAAGCATGAAGAATAAGTGTCCTAGTCTAAGAAAACTAAGGTGTTGCGTTGAATTTGCTCCTGTACGTGCTTGTCTTTCCCCATAGGATAATCATCAAGATAGTCCTATAAACATACTTTTAGTCAGATGAAAGGAACCCCATCCTTAGTTCACAGAATCACCAAATAATTTAGCATGGAGGGGATTTTGGAGGTTATCTGGTCCAATTCCCCACTGAAAGCAGGGCCAGCTTTGAAGTTAGATCCAACTCCAGGGTTGGATCAGGTTACTCAGGGCTGTGAGTCAAGTCTCAAAAAATGGAGACCCCACAGCATCTCTGGGCAACCTATTCCAATGTTTGACCACCCTTCTTGTCAAATTATTTTTACTAATATCTAATTGGAATTTGCTGTGCTGCAACTCGCATTTGTTGCCAGTTCAGAAGAAAAATAGTTTTTGATCCAAAAGAACCTTTGTTGAGAAAAGTTGAATAAAAATGCTCCTAGTGTCATGGTTTAACCCCAGCTGGCAACTAAGCACCACACAGCCACTCGCTCACTCCCCCCCGGTGGGATGGGGGAGAGAATCAGAAGAGTCAAAGTGAGAAAACTCGTGGGTTGAGATAAAGACAGTTTAATAGGTAAAGCAAAAGACGCGCATGCGAGCAAAGCAAACCAAGGAATTCCATTCACTACTTCCCATCGGCAGGCAGGTGTTCAGCCATCTCCAGGAAAGCAGGGCTCCATCACGCGTTACGGTTACTTGGGAAGACAAACGCCATCACTCCGAACGTCCCCCCCTTCCTTCTTCTTCCCCCAGCTTATATGCTGAGCATGATGTCATATGGTATGGAATAGCCCTTTGGCCAGTCTGGGTCAGCTG